CTTTTCTCCAATACTTTTCCAAAGATCAATATAAAAATAATATTGGGTATTATTCAGTTTACCGTGAAACTGATTTAAATCTCAGGGAATAAAATAAATAAAAGAGTTAGTTACCAGTTAGATTTAAAGCCAAACTCTTTAACTTTAACTTTACTGATCTAGTTTATCCAACTAAAATACGCTTACTTTTATTTTTAACATATTTTAAGGTTATAAACACTTTTACTTCATTAAACATCCAGGCTAATTATTGATATTTTGAAAAAAAAAACATAAGAAGCCCTTTTAATAGAAACTAAACGAAATAGTACGTAGGTTGTAGATAACCTCTTTATACATTTTTCATACTTTTTGATGGAAAAGTTTAGGAATTTTTGTTTTTAAATTCGAGTACAGAATTAGTTAGGTTTTTTATGATGTGTATAACTGTACAATGTACAATGTACAGGGTGTCCCAGATCATATTGTATCGTTTATAGCTCTAAATAGGGCTTTTCGGGATGAATCATTTAAAAAATATCTATAAAAATTTGCATGCAGAAAATACTAGGTACTTTTCGAGTATTATCTGCGTATTTTGTCGTTAAAGCTCGGAGAAACAAGAAAAAGTAACATGATATTTAAGAATCCTAACATTTTCAGCTCCGGATCTATTTTTCGCTTTAGTGCATGTATGTTACAGTGGTAAGCGATTATATCAATGTAATGAAGACGACTTTTTATTAGATAATTAACGAGCCCTTTTCGAATTACAAATTTACAAGTAATCAAAGAGAAGCTTTTTCAATTGAAAGCTTCTCTTGACTTCTATGTTTAAGGATATCCATGCGGTTTAACAGCTTGATTTAAATTAATAGAAATCGAAAGTCGTCTTCATTGTTTTCATATAATTGCCTACCACTGTACGTCAAACTAATGTAAAATGCACGTAATATTTAAATCTTATATGTTTTTTATCATACCTCCTCGTATTGAAGAGCTATTGAGAAGCATAAATATGTTTAGAATTCATAATATGTAATCAAATATATTTGCTTTTCTTACACTTGTGCGTAAAATCAGAACTAGAGGAGCAACGGAGTCACAAAGTCGTAACAGTAATATCAATTGAATTTGACCTTCTCCTCCTGGTTAGTTTGCAGTGGTGTATTGTGTATGCATGTGTCACACTTTTGAGCGTCCACAATAGTGCGTCCTTATTAATGCCTCATGCGGAGTTTTTTTTATTTTGCGATTGGTTTTTTGATTTTTCATCTTTTACTTTTTCTCAAGTACTATAACAATTGAAGACAGGAAATATATTCATTTAAAGTCCAAGCATGTAGAAAACAGTGTAATGAAAGAGAATAAAGAATGGAATGGAACATATGGAACAAAGAGGGGCATCTTAAAGGGACTGTAAAGGAAAAATGAAAGGGGGTTAGGCTGAAAGCTAATCACTTTAGCTCTCGATCGCGGCCCATGAAAGTTATGTCTGATGTTCCTATCTCGAGAAATTGGTATACAACTGTGTCAAATTTATACGAAAATTAATATATATACAATTTTGTATAAAAGTAGTGGGTTTAAATAGATCAAATTCAGCAAATAAGCAACCAATCTGAAAACGATGATATCCCAGAGAAAGCTAATTATTACTTAGGTTTACTCCAGTTCTAATTTTATATTTGTTATTTCTATTTTTAATAAATTTATTTCATAATATTATTTACACGTCCGTATTACTTGACCAGAAATTCCACCAATGACAGTGCAGTAAAGTGGTCACGTGATACAGGCAGAGCCACGTGACCAGTATACTGCTCTGCCATTGGTGATAGTTCTGGTCACGTGATTAAAGTTTAAGATTTTCTGAATTTTACATATTTGAACTTTTGTATAATTTTAACACAGTTTTATATCAATTTCTTGAGACAGGAACATCAGATAAAACTTTCATGGGTCGCGATCAAGAGCTAAAGTGATTAGCTTTCAGCCTATACCTCCTTTAATTTTTCCTTTACAGTCCCTTTAAGACCCCTTATTCTGGTAGTACTTTATTTACGTACGCTATGCTATGCTTATTTTTGATATTTTCCTTTAGAGTTACATGTGCGTTGAGACATGAAAAAAGTGAATGCTGTAATAAAGAAAACCTATGCTTGATAAAGAACATGTGTACAGCACTACTATATATCTAGTTTAGTGGTCTGCACATTGCACCAATGCACACATTCTGCTAAAGCAAGCCTTTCTTTACTAACTTTTTACAGTCAAAAATAACCCATATACGGGTAAGGCAGGGGCAGGTTCTAACCTTAAACTGGAATTTAAAACAAAGGGTAGGTGGAGAAAAACCTTTATTTGAGTATGTTTGATATGCAATAATGTGTTTTTTCGTATTTTTTCGTTAATTAGTCCAACAAATTTTCCCCATTCAATAATTTAAGCCTTGAGAAAGTTTTTTGATAAGAGTAACTTATATTCTTCTTTATCTAAATAGGTGTCATAGATAATCGGTTCATGCTACACAGTTATAAAAATCAGTCACAAACTTATTAACAAACGTTTAAAAAGGATTGGTCTTTATTTGAGTTATATACTATTTATTGGGGTTTAAGTTTACGGATATTAAAGTGTTCTTCAATAAATAGTTCATTCTACTCTGCTTTGTTTTATGATTTCTGTACTACACATTAAAAAAATAATAAACTTTTAACAGCTTAGGTGTATAGCTAGTGTGTCTTAAAGAACGGATTTTTTGCCACAAACACTGCTGATTTTCTGATCCCTAACTTTGCAACCCAATATGTTGTAAATCTATTTCTGTATCTACATAAAGTTGTAATCTTGGTTTGTATGTTCGATCATAACTCATAAACCCCTTGACCGATTTGCCTTAATTTTTTATTGGGGAACTCGGGAGAGAACCACAGGAATGTGCTTAGCTTGGTTTTGAAAGTCTAAGTTGAGAGGATCGACTTTAATAGAAACAATTTAGTTTCCCGGTAAAATCGACAAAGTGCGGGTAAACGGCGGGAGTAACTATGAGTAACCTCAACGCCGGGTTCCAAGCTAGTCTTTGATATTACCAACCATGAATTCTTTAAAATGAAATAATCTAGGTTTGAAATATTAAAGGTTTACACCATCAGGTTGCAAAAATATAGGGCTTAGAAAATTTAATTTTGTGGCAAAAACTCAGTTACTTTTCACGTTTAAAATCAAATTATTTTGTCTACAACTGAACTAGTAGTAGTAGTGTTCTTTTGCCTTCAATTCTTCGTAAATCAGTAAACCATCATACAGACTTTTTATATCTTCACCTTGATTATGGTATTATGTGTATGAGTTGTAATTAAATTTTAAATATTATATTTAGCAATATATCTACATACACTTGTTCATATATACATGTGTGAGGTATAGTTGCATACTTGATAACAGACCCTCAATACATTTACATAATATCCAATTTATGTATGTGTAATCTTATTTCAGTGAATATTCAATTATTTAGATAAGTAAAGTGAATATTAAAAACTGTATAGAATGGAAGACATAGCTCCGCAATTCTGATTTAAAGGTAAACAAATTCATTTTATTTGGAGTGTACAATATTTTAATTCCCTAATCAAATGTTATATATTATATATACAAATATATCAGGGTCGTATTCATGAACTTGTTTTATTCTAGAGGGGCTCATCACCCTTTGGGACCCCCCTCCAAAAAAAACCCTGGAAAGCAAAGATTTCACTGATCCAAAGGGACTAAGCAATAATTTATATTTAATCATTTTTGATGTATAAAGTATATTAATAAGCAAAATTGTTGAGTAGTTTTTCCTTTAAAACATAAACAATCTCATGTTAAAAATGTGAAGTTAAAAACTGCTTCTGAGACATTTTATCAAACATAATTGATCACGTTTTTAAACGAATTGTTTAGACTATAAACATAAATAGATATTTACTTTTGTAGACATTTGATCAAAGAAGTTATTTTAAGAATTTATTCAAGTATCTATAATATCACTCAATACTTACTATGCATTTTTTAATTAAAAGTTATAAAGACTAAACAGAAATCGCCAGACGAAATTATCAGCAATTAAAATATTTAAAAGTTTTCTACTCACAAGTCACAGTGATCAAAATATTGCAAGCTTTTACGCAAAAGTCGATGAGAATTTTGCCAATTACTTCTTAAGAATTATGGCTAAAAGCAATTACTTTACAGTTTTAAAATTTGCATGGTACGGGCTACACAAAAGTATAAATAAATTAGTAAGCTAAAATCGAAGGCCAAGGCGTTGTGTCGACCCATTCTTGAAAATTGATGCAACTTTTTATAGCTTGGATCTATGTGTACTTACTGATATATTCACTGTATACAGTATTTATTAAATTTAGTAAGATATTGTCAACATCGTAAACTTATCTAATATTAGAGACAATGCTTTTAATCTATCTGTGTTGTGTTCCTTTGATACACTGTACAGTGTACGCTATACAGTTTTGCAAATTTAAGAGTTTGATAGATGATTGCGTTTCTTTATTACGCAATAGAAAACCATACAATAATTCTTTGCACAGCATGGTACCATGCAGTTCATGCAGTGGAGCGTAAACAATCATACGCGTTTATGTAACAAAGTTTACAGAATATCTATGTACAATGTACAGTGGAGGAATTTTACACAATTTCTCTAATCCTTTATACCTACGCAGTTTAAGAGCTCTCTCATTTATTTAAAGTTGGTAACTTGAGCATTCAGAAATTATAGTGTATAATAATCATAATAAATTTTGATATCTACCAATCTTAAATGAAACTTATGAATAATTTTGTTTTACAAAGCTTTTTAAAAAAATTTCATCTTTAACTGTCATTTTAATGCTTTTCGCCGTCAGAAAAAATACACGATAAAAAAACTTCAAATCGGTTGTGAGTAGCAAATCTGACTGGTTTGTTTAAAATTACCCCAAAATATCAATTTAGAATTAAAAAAACGAAGATTATCAATCAAAACAAAGGTTTATTTCAATTTGTTTAGGTAAACCCATTTTGTGATTATAATGGTGTTGGTTGGAAGCCAGCATTGATCCGAGGCATCAGAGATAACTCGGAACTCTCCTAAAAAATATACACACATGACTGTGCTGTCATAATAATAAAATATATAATGTTTTTATGCAAACCTGTATTCTGTATGATTTAAGTGTCCTCCCGTCTTCTAATTCATCTCCAAGAAATACTAAAACCTAAACCCACAAAAGATTGTGCATCATTCTTCTATAATTAAAAAATCGAAACATTTCTTCGTCCAAAAAAGGCTACAAATTTTCGGAAATTAGCTCTATCTTTTTAAAACAAAAGTGTAGTAACCTGCTGATCAGGAAATACTCCAGTAACTTGGTAAAGCATGATTTTAACATCATCCACAGTGGAAGTAACCTCTACACTCAAAGGAATGTATTCACCAATCATGGTTCGAACCAAAATCTGATGATAAGAAAACTTTGTATTGCGAGAACCCTGTTTAAGATTTTAAGATAGAAAATATATTTTGTGTTGCTCACCATTCTATATAAGAATTGTTCGGGCGAACTATATTAATTAATCTTAATAAATAGTCTAATACATAAAAGATATTCAATCACCCAATAAAAGTTCATTTCTCATTCAGTTTGTAGAATTTAAGAAAATTTTAATGACTAATATAAAGAAATGGATAAATAGATATTAAATTACCTCAATTACTTCGTTCCTTTCAATCAAAATGTTGGGTCTTTCCTCTGCCATTTTGGAATAATTGCGGATTTTAAACTTTAATTTAGAGAATTTCTTACTAAGTTAGTTAGCATTTCGAATTAGAAACTGGTTTTGTTTAAAATAACAAAAACATATCGGAAAAGCTATGAGTGAAATGGAAAATACCACGAAACCTTTGGATTTTGCTACAATACTTTAATCTAGTTGGCCTCTATGACAAAAAAGATCACAAACATTTTTTTATTGTGGCGTCTTAAATATTTACTTACGGTCAAATAATTGTTAAAATTTAAAGTGTGTGCAAGAGATCAAGAAATTAATTTCGTATTTCGCTATTTAAATTGATATTATATTCTATCTGTTCAATTCATTTTGTTGGTTGAGATTTTTTTGTTACTTTAAAGAATGAAAGACAAAGAGTTGAGATACCTTGGAACGATACGCCCATCGAACAAAATTCTTGTAAATGTTTGCAAATTGAGTGCAATACATGGGAACTAGGATTGAGCCATATCAAAGGATTTAGGGCTTGAGGTCTTCATCAACTTCCAAGGATTCACAATTGTGATTTTATCTGAAATCTTCTATCCTTCAGTAAAGATTAAACTTCTTAAATATTCTTGAATGAAAAAAAATTAATCCGCTTCAAATCGTTAAACTCATTCTTTTTGCTCTTTATTTATCACTGCTTTAATTCATATACCAAGAGTCTACAAATTTTACTAAGCTTAAATAAAAAAGTCAGGATTCAAAATCCATTAAAGCGGATTGGAATTTTCATTCATTTTTTTTAGTTTTCATAGATTTAAATAACTAATCTCATTATTTGAATATTCATGTTAATTGTATCTTCTATGGCCAGGTTGTTTCCCGTATTTTTATACCCAGGTTGTATCTGCTTGTTTCATGCATATTTAGTTTGTATCCTCTATAGTTGTATATCCAGGTTGTATCCCCTAGTTGAATATCTAGGTTTCATCCTTTAGTTGTATATCCATGGGTTGAATTTCCTAGTTGTATATCCAGAATGTATCCCCTATTTGTAAATCCAGGTTGTACCCCTTGTTGTATATCCAGGTTGTTTCCCTTCGTTGCATATCCAGGTTGTACCCCTAGTTGTATTTCCAGGTTGTATATTCAGGTTGTATATCCTGGATGTATCCCCTAGTTGTATATCCAGGTTGTATCCCCTAGCTGTATATCCAGGTTGTATCCCCTAGCTGTATATCAAGGTGGTGTCCCTAGTTTTATATCCGGGTTGTATTCCTTAGTCGTATATCCAGGTGGTATTCTCTAGTTTTATATCAAGAGCTGAAAACTTTTGAATGGGATATCCTTAATACCGATCTCTTAATTAATCTGGAGATTAATAACAAGAGAAGAACAAGCATTATTTGATCTAGAGATTGAGAAAAAGAGTGGATCAAGCATTAATCTCAATATCCACCATTCTAAAGTTTTCAGCTAAGGTTATATTTCCTACTTGTATATCCAGGTGGTATCCCCTAGTTGAATATCCGGGTTGTATTTCCTAGTTGTATATCCAGGTTGTATTCTCTAGTTGTATATCAAGGTTGTATTTCCTACTTGTATATCCAGGTGGTATCCCCTAGTTGAATATCCGGGTTGTATTTCCTAGTTGTATATCCAGGTTGTATTGGTTGTATTACATAGTTGTCTGTTGTATATCCAGTTTTTATCCACTAGTTGTATTACATATCCAAGTTGTATCTCCTAGTTGTATAATAAATATCTAGGTTATCATCAACCCCGGAGAAAGTCTAAACAATGGTTGTTGTAACCAACTGTGTTTAATAAAACAACTATTATACAAAGACAGACAACCCGGTAGGAATTCTTCGCATATGTCGGAGAAAAGTCAGAAATTATGGTTGAGTAATTTGACGAGGTTGGATAGTTTCATAACTAAAGAGATAACTAACAATATCTACTGAAAATAGATATTTAGTCTATAACAGCAAATAAATTATTAAGTTCAAAAGGTGGCAACGATATTTTGAAGACATTATGAATAACGTCATTGGTGTCAAATGTGTCACAGTTTCAACTTCATTTAATTGTAGACGACATTAAATCAAACAGAAAACATTTAAAAAGAAAAAAGGGTAAAACTGCACTGAATTTACTGCAAACTTAAACACTTTAGACTAAACTAAATGTATAAGCACTCTACATTGCCACTTATTGTTCTTGACAATCTATTTGGTGTGAAGTGTTTGAAAAGAAGAATATTAGTAAAAATTGGTTTTATAAGGGTAATAAAGCCAATTTTTACAGAAAGTGATTCAAATAAACACAAAATAAGATCTAATAATATATGATTTTGTATGAATTGATCTCTATTGAAAATATCAACTTAATATTTACAAGAAGGGCTATAAATGTACAGAATAAGAGGCAAAGGATTTTTTATAAGAAAAACTAAATAAACCAATGTAAAATAATAACAGTTTAATTCCTTCACAATATCTTTAAATATTTGCAATGGCTAGAGAAATATGAGACCGTCTCCCCAGTCCACATATACTTTTAAACACTGCATTTCTCGGTTCTCCAGCCGTCTATACTTGTGTCTGGTATTCTTATGCAACCTTATAGCTCTATACAGTATACACCAAATACAATCATCCAGCTTTCACGAAAACATCGATGAGAATTTTGTCAATTACTTATTGAAAAACTAAATCTAAAAACAAGTGCTTTAAAGTTCTAAAATGTATATATTTAGGAGTACAAAAAGGTATTAGCGAGTTTGAGAGGTAAAATCAAAAGCATTTGCATTGTGACAGCTCAAAGTCCACCCAGTCTTGGAATTTGATGAACACTTTCATAGCAGACTGGATCTATGTGCACACCACCACCCTATATATTCTACCCATAAAAGACATTAATTACTAAATTTAACTAATTGAAATTCAATCCAAAAAAAATATACAGAATACATTAAAAGTTTAACAATATTGTAAGAAGCTTAAATTCAAATTTATTGAAAATCTTAGAATAAATTTTCAAAAAGTCAAATTAAACATTATAACAAACCTGTTTACACTCTGTGTTTTTGGACTATCTCCTCTTTGTAGAATTTTCGGAAATTCTGCTCCGGCCGTAAGGTTTAGTTGGTGAGCTGTAAAACCTGAAGTTCAAGATTTACACAAGAAATATGTGGCAGTAAGAGCCCTGAATTTCTCAAATACTGTCTTTATATAAAAGGCAGGGGAAATCTAAAACTTGTTATTATCATCAGTTAATCGTTGGTTTGCGTGTGTTTGAAGGTGTCAAAAGAAAACTATTATTAGTATCTGAACTAATTAAGATCTATTTCTCAATCCTACATTAAAGAGGTTGAGAAATCATTCAATAACTATAATCTTGCTCAGTTTGCTCTACACTAGATAAAAGTAGAATTGAAAGGAATTGGGTCTTTGTTACAAACTCAAATTGTCTAAACCTTTGCAACCTGATGGTGTACACTTTTGATACCTTGTTATAGCTTGAAATATCTAAGGTCTACGAAATTTGGTTTTAAAGGTATAGGATTTAGAATTTCAGAGTTTCTGGATATTTTGACACTGTAAGATTTTAAGTGTCTTTTTTACTTGGCCTTTAAATCAAAAACGAAATGAATTATGACAGAAAATGATCGTTTTTACACCTGAATTTATTTTCTAGGTGCTCTGTCTGATATTAAACATGTGTGTATGTTATGACATAAGTATGAGTACGAAGAGCGCGTTGCATGTCTAAGTCTTGCGCGCGTTGCGTATGTGTTAGAGCGCGTTTCCATATAGGTTGTTCACCCCACATATCAGGAGTTATATTTACAACTACAGAGGGAGAGAGAGAGAAAGAGAGATTTTATGGATTTAACTTTTTTATCTTTTTTAGAGTGATTAAAAAATATAATTTTTTCTTTATCTATTAAGATTAAATGCATATGCATGTCTTTAACTAAACAGTTTGCACATTTTTCCTCAATTATCGATTTAATTATTCAAACCTACCATTTCTTTTAAGTTACTGTGGTTGGGTTGCCCCTGTCTTATGTTTGGTTTGGTTGCCCCTGCCGTATGGTTTGGTTTGGATGGTAGGCATCACAACTTTCACTAGCGTTCAACTTTCCCTGTTTCTCTTACAGCAAGGATAGCTTGATAGATGGATTAGAAAAAATCTAGGAAGACAGATATCTCTGGAATCCAAGGAAACTAGACAAGATAGAAAACTAAACAAAACAACTATAACAGTTGACAAGAGAGATTTTTTACTATCCTTTGATTTTTGTCCTTTCGTCTTGATACTATTTTAGTCACAAAATTTTAAAAACATTTCAACAGATTTTAAATTTAAAAATTAGTTTTTATAATAAAAAAGATTACTGAGATTGAATAAAGGAAAACGATTGACGATCTAATTTATTTAGAAAAAAAATAGTTCTTGGTTCGACCTTTTTAATTGCAGTCAACCTAACCTGTTAAAATAAAAAATAGTTCTTGGTTCGACCTTTTTAATTGCAGTCAACCTAATCTGTTAAAATAAAAAATAGTTCTTGGTTCGACCTTTTTAATAGCAGTCAACCTAATCTGTTAAAATAAAAAATAGTTCTTGGTTCGACCTTTTTAATTGCAGTCAACCTCATCTGTTAAAATAAAAAATTCTCAACCAAAATTCGGAAATACTCTCTTTCAGGTTAAGATTATCCCACTAACCTAAATACCTTAGCTTGATAATGCCTAGCAACCATACATACTAGCACTCTATTCATAGAATACACGGAGCATCTCCAGAGCATACAGGCCTCAGAGGCGTAGTCATGGGGAGCTGTGGGGTTAAGCCCCCCCCCCCTGGACCAGTAAAATCTATGGATTTCAGGAGGGTGTCAGGCCCCAACGCGGGTGCTGAGCCCCCTCCTGGAAAACAAATGCAAGCCCCCATGGAAAAATTCCTGACTACACCCCTAACACGCCTGTGCACTTTACACTGTTAATGGACACTGAACGGTTAGTGTACTGCACATTGTACACAACATTCAGAGTAATCGAATTAATAGATAAAGCCAACCTAAATATAGGTATTACACAAAAAGATGATGAAAATAACAAAGCTTTGCATGCATTAACTAAAATGTACCCAACGTGTAACCGTATTAATCTGATATATAAATATCTTCCAAGATTTTTTGCTGGATATTTAATTATTTAATTATATTTAATTTGTTAGCGGTTTTTTGGTTTTGCTTTCGTCGCGTCGGTGTGTTTGTTTTGTCTGCTAATATCTTGTGTTGTGTGTTTTCATCTGTTTATTTGTGTAAAGGGTTGGGGGGGGGGGTAAGGGAGAGTGTGTGTTGTTTAGTAGTTGTGTGACGTGTGTGTTAGTGTGCTGTAGATGTATAGTTGCGTGTGTGTGTGTGAACAAAGTAATGGTGGTGTATATGTAAGAAACCTAGTGAAGGTTTAGGATCAGGTCATTTCTATATCAGAATGTATGTACTTTCTTTAAACAAACACTTACTGAGTTTGTTTTAAGAAAGTACATACATTCTGATATACAAATGACCTGATTTTAAACCTTCACTAGGTTTCTTATACAACACCATACTTTGTTCACACACACACACGCAACTATACATCTACAGCACACTAACACACACGTCACGCAACTACTAAACAACACGTTCGTACTTTTTTTTTAAAAAGAAGAGGGACATGCCCTGTTCACAACAGTACCATTGAAATCTTAATCTGAACAGTGGAAGATACATAGTTTTTCGAACCGAAAAAATATTTAATTTTGCAGAGAAATCACAAATAAAAATGAAAGTTTTATAAAAGAAAAACAGTAATATATATATATCTTAATAATCTTATAAAATATAATAATCTTTGGTCGAGACTTTAACAAGAATGCCCTGAAGATGATTTAATAAACCGAAAATTGCTGAAAAAGTTTTCTTTTAACTGAAGCTGAGAGTGTTAGATTTAGATATATATATATTTATATAAGTCTATACTTAATCAACCAAAGCTTTTGAGAGTACTGTTGTGGATTGGATGTTTCACTCAATCAATGGAGAGTCATTTGAAATTAGGTTACCAGTCCCTTTAAAGTATTAAGTCCCTTAATCTCTGCTCTAAATTTTATAATGTTTTATACGAGAACTTTTTGGGCAGAGTAAAGTTAATGTCGTCCTATATTGGTTCCATTTTTGATGATCATAAAAGCATACAAGACTGATGTAAGATATTTTGGAACCCTGTGAACATATCATACAGTTAAGTCAGAAACTTTTTAAAGGAGGAAGATGGTTCAGAATGAGTTACATTGATTGACTGAACAAAATGACAAAATTACTGAACTGAACTGAGGTGAACACTCGCCTCATACTTAAATTTTCTAATCTCTATATTCTAATTAGGCATCAGATTTTAAAGCTGTCAAAAAAATTAGATAATTTGAATTTCAGGCAATTACTCAGCAATTACTTGTGTGAGTCAAGGAAGATAAAAATGAACTTTTGATATGTTTTAAATGTATATTGCGAGGGCAATTATATCTTTGTAGTGTGAATGGCTGGGATTAAATATGTAGATTTGTAGCTAAAGCAGATTAAGCCAACCATATCAACTATTGTTCTTGTTAATACACCTACTTAAAACTATATACACATTACACACTGTCATGTGTTCCGTTATTTTTTAATACTGAATGGAAAAAATAAAATAGTTGATTATTCATTAATTTCCTTAAAAATAAAAAAAAATTAAAATATAAAAATAAGAATACGTTTGTTTTCAATTAATAATTGTACACGTTTTACTCGCCTTTTTCATTCGCACTTTAAAAAAGCTAAGAAATATATTATTCATAATGGACAATTATAGAAGTAACTGGAGTAACATGCCAGCGCTTACCCTGACTCCTGAGCTTCCTGAGCTTACCCTTTCATGGAGGGAATGTAACATTAAATTAAGCTACTCATACAGACAAAGGAATTGAGTTTTTGCCACAAACTTAAATTTTCGAATTCCAATATCTTAGCGATCTAATGTTGTAAACATTTGATATTTCAAACTTAGATCAGTTGAGCTAACAGAATTTATAGTTTGAAATATCTAAGGTCTACGACATTTGGTTGGGAGAATATAAGGATTAGAAAATCAGAGTTTGTTGCAAAGACTCAATTCCTTTTTAGTCAATTGTTGTCAATAACTGTTTAGCCCCTCCCCCCCCACCTCACCTCCCCGTCCCGAGATACGGTCTGAAAAGAACAGAATTTTCAGGCCAAGAATATAATTATCAGGGGAAACCTGGAACGTCTGTAGGAAACAGGATTCAGAACCTGAACTTGGAAACTCTCCCTTTCTCTAATAATTGAAGCCAAGGAGTAGGACGGGTTCGGTTTCAATCTCAATCTTGCATATCTTTTTTATTAAAAAACTGTAATCTCGTTCTCCCTCCATTATTTTTACCCGATTTTTGTATAACATATTTCCTCTGAACGTACCCCCTCCCCCTCCCCCCAAACACTCCTCCCGACCCAACATCTTCAACCCTTTTCAACCTTAACCTTAATCTTCTAAGACCTCAGCATAAAAGAATATATTTGTTGCAGCCTGCAGCCATTTCTTGACACATTTGGAAAAATGTATACTTTAAAATTCTCTCTTCGATTCCTTCGATTCTTCTTTAGCTCTCAGATCCGTATTTTGTATTACACAGAGTATGTTTGTACGTATTCTTAAATTCTTCAGGAAGAAGTATCAAGACCTTATTGTTAAAAAGTTGTGCGAAGCAGCATATTTTTCTTAATTTTTGATTCTCAAATGACATTATTTTATGAAAGGTCTCCCACCAAATTTAGGATTTAAAGCTGAAAGCATACATCACACTTTTCATGCTTCTTAATAAAGTTTTTTCTCATTCTTTGACTAAACTAACACATTATTGTATTATTCGATGTTTAATTGGTTTGAGTTTAAGATCATTTACCACGTTATTAGGTTGTAGTGGATGTACGTGATTGAAAAAGCTGACTCCGAGGCAAACTGTTTTGAATTTCCGAGTTTGTTTTTTTAAAAAGCTTATTTTTTATTGAGATTTTAAAAGCAAGCAAAAAAATCTAAAAGGAGTAAGACTGGGGACACCAAAGCTCTCCGGGATTCTACTCTCCAAATAGTTTCATCAGGACACCTTAAGATGGGAGGGGGGGAGGCCCGTTCTCAATGTCTGTAGGTCACACACAGCCTGTACAGTCCGAAACCGCGCCACTTGCCTCTTCACCCAGGACACCTAGGCCGGCGCAGGACACAGGTGGTTGGTCCGGTACGACTGGTACAGGTGTGTGTATGTGTGTGTGTGCGTGTTTGTGCCGAGCCGGGGAGTGGGAGAGCTCTACGCTGCATAAACCGGACCTTCAGTGGCCGGAGAACCATCAACCTATAGGCCCTAGGTGTGAGATATACGTGATACCCAACCTAGAAACCAACTCCTAACAAAGTGCTTTTTTGAAACTTTAATTTTAAACCTCTAGTGAGCTAACCGACAGGCTGGCGTATACAGACGACCCTTCCGCACCACCATGTAAGTAAATCGAGTCATAATTCCTAAGATTCTTTGTTTTAAATAAGATAGATCTAGGTGTGGAACTATAAATTGTGATGATGAGTAAATTTATTTTCATCTAATTTTTAACTCACATCAAGTTTAAAAAAGTTATTCTTTTCACTGTGAAGAAGGTAAAATGTAATTAATTTATACTGAATATAATTTGATATCATGATCCGTATTTTTAAAGTACAAAATGTTAATTGAATAAACTAACATTAAAATATGGGATTTTGATTTATCGAGTATTCAGAACTTATTTGAAATGTTTTATCCTAATAAATAGAATAATTACATTTTTTATACAATATTGCTTATATCAGGCATTATTGCGTTACTTCTAAAATATGTTTAATTTAATTTCAGAAATAACGTGATATTGATTTAAGGCTAAATATTAAATTGTTGCCTTATAAACTTTAAACAAAAATTAAAAAAATATTTGGTCATTCTCATTTCTATTTAATTATTGATAATTCTAAAAGTGACTAGTTTATTTATTTTTTAACTTTAAATTTTTATAATTTTAACAATTTTTTCATCATTTTGTACTTTATATGATAAGTGGTGATATTTTCATAAAAAACGATTAAAATTCTTACTAAATTCAAATGAGCCATTAATTTTTTTAAGTATTAAGCAATGAGCATGTCTTCATTTTTAATTATTATCATTTCTTGAATTAAATTACACTAAAACTAATATTGATTAAGTTTTGTGATATGCTATGAAATATTTAAAAAAGTACAGTTTCAAAAATATTTGTTACATTCAATTATTTGGTTAAGTTATACAATGCCACACAAAAGGAACAATGTTTTATGTATATACAGAGTATATGTACAATTTATAACAACGACTTGACCCCTATAAAAAATAAAGTACAGTACGGTACAGTGTACGTACAGTACATACATTCCTTGTATGATTGTTTGTTAAGTAAGGGTTTATTGTCTTTGGGTTTGCTTTGTGCAAATTTCATGGATTCTGGCTCTTAGCGCTAATATAGCTGAATGATGCAAAATATGCGGCGTAACGAATGCCTATGTAGGATTGCTGCCTAGGGGCAGGCTTATATAATATATTAGACTATAGAAGGCCGGATGGTGAACATCATGCATGAATAACCGTTCCATGGGCCCCTCAAACATAATTATAGGTCGTGCATACTTTACAAAATATCCATTTTTTCTGATCTGCACTGAATAAAATATATTTATTTAAGAAATAATAATTCTATTATATTTATAAATTTTTGTTAAACGCCTTAATCCCGGAGCAAGTTTTTTAAGGGTTAAAACGCTGGTTCTTTGTGTATGTTATTTTATATTTCCTCAAATTGATCCCACTAGTTTCATTGCAAAAGCTTACATACTCTTGGTTTACATGCTTGAATGATCGCATGAATCATCATGGGCCTCTATAATCTCTTCAACTTTACAATCTAAATCTATTTAACCGGAGATTTGTCGGATCTCTTATTGACTAAATGCTATATTTGACTTAAAAACAACAATAATGTTTTTTTTTATGCATACAAATAAAATTGAATTATAATTATAATCCTTGATTCCTATCTGTTAATCTATCTATCCTTCTGTATATATTTATCCATCTATCTAAACTAGTTTAATCTTAAAGGTCTGTATTATATGATTCTTTGTCCAGATTCATCAACTGTAACAACACTACTTTGTTCAGTTTAATTTAAAGAAAAAACGTACAATTTTAAAGATTAAAATTAGTATCATTGCTTATTTTGTAAATCAGCGCATCGCAAAAGTTTATATGAAATAAGTTCTCCCTAATTTTTCTCCTGCATTTAAGCTCCATTCCCATGACAACTCCTATAATGGACCAATGATAACATTAAATGTACTGCATGACACAAAGACATAAGTTGCGGGGGGGGGTGTATGGGAGTGGCGTAATTATCCTCCTCTTATATATTTGCTTTGTGCGCGTATCCACGTTTTTGTTTGCCTGCACCGGATTCTCAGCAGTGTGTGCGTGCGCGCTCCTTCTTTGTTTCTGGAAAGAAAAAAGCACAAAAAGCAACTAAGGTGACGTTATTGCTTGAGGGGGGGGGGGGGGTATTTTTATCTGTAGTTCTTAGCAGATTTTTTAACCTCTCTTTCAGGCTTGCACCTGTTGTATTCTTGTATTCTTTATACGAGCATGTATAAGGATTTTTGTTAAAAATATTTGTCAACCATCTTATGCCATAAAAAGGTTAATATCACTTGTCGAATAATACTATATGCAAACTATATTTACACTATATTTCCTTTATTAAGCAGTGTCATAATGTTTTATTGAAGTTCAAAGGTTTTCTAAATTTGGATAAAAAGTGGCTGTATATCCCCATATCCTGATGTTGCTCCTGATGTTGCCGCACAGGATGTAGTTAAGAGGAGCATGCATGAGTACGGTTGGTAAATTGTACCAGGTCCCCCCCTCCCCCATTTACCCACTAGCATTAACTAACAATTTACCCAATATACATTATACAGGTCTACGGTCCACAACCTAGTGAAGAGCGACAAAAAAACACTATTCAGCTTTGCATTTTTACTCCAAAGCGCATGCTAAATGAACATATTTATTTTCAAGTAATAAAACCAATATAAAACTGAACATGATCACAGTTAAATCTATGACCGATTGCAAACCTTCCCCGGCCAGCTAAACCAGTATCATTCTCTGTTTATTTAAATAAAATAAAGGGAAAATATCTACCCCTGGTTAGTGTTCCTATGTGGAGAACTTTTTAACTGCCTTCAGGGTTGAGGGCTCTCTAGGTAATCAAGGTCATGTCTATCACTTGAGGGTAATGATTGAGTAGAGGATGTGGAAGAGTGGAGAGGTTTCGAGGTTTTATTGTGAGTTGAGATTAATATATTAAATGCAATTTGGTCCCAGCGAAGAAATTTCATGTTTAAAATGTGCAGAACATTTTGGGTTCTATATTAATACATTGAATAAAAAACGCTCGACATTATTGGTGTGTTGCTCACGAAAATCTTATTTAAACACCCGGTGTACTTGACTTTAATACTAGATGAGAAGTTTGTGTGCAAATCTAGTAATTTTGCACACATAGCGTTAGAATTCATCGATTTTAGCCTCCATCCCACAGATTTCATTAATTCATTAACATATTCACATATACACTAAATACAAAAATACATATACGATTGCATTCACATATTACAGGATTGATTAAGAAAATATTTGGGATTTCAAAGTTTAAAAGTCCTATTTGGGCGTGGCATAATGTATCATTTAAGTTGAATGGGTTATCATTCATGGGCAAACAGCCTCCAGGGTAGAGTCAGGAAAATGTTTAACGCTCACAACCCAAAAATATTATTTGGTTCATTCAAGAGGTGTAGCCAAAATATTTTATGATATGTTTATAAAAAAGGTTTCGGGCTAGTTTAATCCACTTCTAAATCTAGCTTTCCAGCCTCTGCTTGCTTTGTTTGTTAGACTGCATCATATGTATCAAAATTCATAATTTATGCGTCTTGTTTACATACACAACACACACCAATATTTAGTACGCAAAGGAGATTCACACCCAAAATATATTCTTTATGTTTGTCCCCCCGGCAGTATAGTATGAATGACGGATCTGTATGTGAGGTGTCTAATTAGGTGTCGTGTACAGAGGTATATACCCCCTGGAATTAGCGAACAAATAAATATTTCTAAAAATATTTTTTTTGTGTCTACGAAGATTACAGCCGTCTTAAAATACTTTATTTAAGCATTAACTAAATATAAAATCCCCGAAATGGTTTCTCTCCCCGTTCTTTGTGCGAATTTCCCTCTGCTTATATTCCCCGTTCCCAAGAACCTAGTCTATACTGTTTGATTTTTATCACATATTTTTATTCAAATATTTTGAAAATAAATATTACCAGCAATTGGATAAAAAAAACCAAGGATAGGCATTTGAACAAAGAAAGCGTAAATCTAAGTCTCCACTATAAAGTAATATAAAATTTAATACTTGTTATGCAATGATTTTAGCAAAATAATAACTCTTCTTGCCTCAAATATTTCCATATTTGCTTGAAAGAATATGTTCAAAAAACTGGTTTAAGTTTTGCAACCCCATCCTATGTGAACTCTGCACTGCTTCGGCTGCTTACATAATAACTTACAGAGAACTGCCTCAAGCTACTTACGTGCTTATACAGTCAGGGAGATAATAAGGATTACAAGAATGCAGGGGGGCGGGGGTGTTTTCGAGAGTTGTGATCCTATATGTTAAAGCATAGAAAGTAATTTTATTTCTTAACGGATAGAAACACAGTATGTTATACGTAAAAGAAAAGGTCTCCTATGGATGAATGCTCTTTGTCCCTTGTTGTTCTTTTTCTCACGATGTTGCCGCCTTGCCTTTACTTCTTCTCCAGCTGCATATAATCTTTAAACAGTGCTTTTAGTCATCCAGCTATACATACTCACATCCAGCTATACATACTCACATCCAACCATCCAACTATACATACTCACATCCAACCATCCAACTATACATACTCACATCCAACTATACATACTCACATCCAACCATCCAGCTATACATACTCACATCCAACCATCCAGCTATACATACTCACATCCAACCATCCAACTATACATACTCACATCCAACTATACATACTCACATCCAACCATCCAGCTATACATACTCACATCCAACCATCCAGCTATACATACTCACATCCAACCATCCAACTATACATACTCACATCCAACCATCCAGCTATACATAATCACATCCAACCATCCAACTAAACATACTCACATCCAACCATCCAACTATACATACTCACATCCAACCATCCACCTAAGCATACTCACATCCAACCATCCAACTATACATACTCACATCCAACCATCCAACTATTCATACTCACATCCAGCCATCCAACTATTAATACTCACATCCAACCATCCAACTA